GCCTGTCCCACCTTGCTTTCTGGTGTGCCACCGCTGTCATATTGCTCCTGTTAAAGGGAGTTCTTTGTTGCCCAGAATTTTGTCATGACTGGACTGCACAGTTTCTTGCCATACTTACGAATTAATACTTTTCTGTTATTTTTGTCCGGGCATTAGGAGCTAGCCTGTGGAGTAACATCCTGAGTCCTCTCAGCTTTTACTGTCTGTGATGTTTATTCCAGAGTAGTTATTACATGAAAAACCCAAGCAAGTTAAATTTACTGATAGAGATTCATGTACCTTCCATGTGCGGTTTAGAAGGAGGAAAAGGAGCTTTTTCATTGGCAGCTGGGCTTCTGGGTAACCTAGCTAGCTCTGAGTTAGTCAGGAATTGTTTCTAATTCATGGACTGAAGGGAGTTGTGTGTTCTGTTTTGGTAGCAGTGCATTGTATCAGGACTTGAGTGGCCAAATCTAGGTCAGGAACTGTATAGATTATTCATGCATTATCATAAACAGTGCAAATCTAGGTCAACAGAAGCTTACTTTGAAATACTACCTTTCTTGCATATGTAGTGATTATGTTGTTTTTATTATTGCTATTTATTGGAGTAGTTTCACTGGGTTTGAGTCAGTTACCATAGCTGAAGGCTAAAGTTAGCGCTAGGACAAAGTGACTTGATGGAAGTCTGCCAGACATTGTCAATTCTGATGCTAACTCTTGCTTGTTTCCAGAAGAGTTGCAGACATTTCCCTGCAGGGGAGGGAGTGTTTCCTAAAAGTGTACCTGGGACTTCTTATGGTAACACCTGGGAAAAATTTGGGTTTATATGCACTGGGATGTTTTCGGGTAGTGTGTTCCAGTGTTGAACAGTGGAGTGTTCAGTGCATGTGTAAGATAACATCTGCAGATGTAAGTCTTGGCAGAATTTTTATATGAAGATTTCACATCTGATACTATTTCAGGAATCTTGGAATAGTGGTAATTACTGTCTGTAGAACATTGCTGAAGGCTTTGAGAAGCATATGAATGTTAGATTTTGTTCTTCTATGACATGCTCAGGCATCTACATTTTCCCTCCATAGTGTTCCTAACCTTGTTAGCAGTGAGGCTGTGAATGCTAACAGCTTCCCTTTTTCTTGTGGTGCGCTGGGCAGCTGTATTACCTTCGTTTGGAGCTGTCATTTTCACTGTGCTGCCTGTCAAAGTTATATGCAGGAGTGAAATCTGAGGACTGGTCTGTGGATTAAAGCAGATGTATGAAGCTATCATGAGAAACAAACAGGAGTTTATGTAGGACTAACTGAAGAGATAAGGAGATAAGCATTTGAAATTTAATAGGTACCTTTCCTGTTTTTTCTGCATAACTCAAGACCATGGAACTTAATCCATTTGTTTCTGTACTGAGTCCACTATCTTGTGTTTGATTAAAGATTGCTTTCAAGAAAGTCCTCCAGTCTTGATCTGAAGACATCGACAGATGTCGGAACCACGACTTTGCTAGGGAGGTTGTTTCAACTTTTTAATAATCTTCAGCTTTAATAGTTCTGTTAACCTGTCCAGCCAACAGTTATACAATACCCCACTCTTCAGACTGTACCTTCATAACATTAAGCCTAATTCATGTTAACAATTTTTTTTTGTGTTGAACAAACATTTAGTGGTTTTGCTTGACTACTGTCATGCTCTGGTAAACCTTAACTGATCATTCAGTGCTTGTCAGGTAAATCTTGTAACTTCCTGCAGCTTCAGAACATTAATTTCAATCTTAAAACTTCTTTCAATATAGTACATCCGTACTGAGCTCTAAAGTGTGAGCAGTTGTTATTTGTGATGAAGATGTAGTTGAAGGAATGCATACTGAAATTATCTGATAGTTTAAAAGGAGTAGGCTTTGGGTAGTGTGGAGTTTAGAGAAGCTATTTCCATTGCTTGAAATAAACTTTGAAACTTTTACAGGGATGGATGGTGCTTTTGGTGGGTTTAGCTTACAAGGTGGATCTCTGAAAATAGTTGTCTGGCTTTCCCCCATATCCTGCAATTATTTTGTTTCCTTCTCCAGCACACAGTTGCAAGGGTGCTTTGTGTGAATGAAGATAGTTGGCTTTGATTTACTTTGGAATATGTGTGTACTATTGCTTGGTTAACTGCAAGCTTAAATGTAAAGCAGGATGTTCACTCATCTTTACCCAGTGAAGTTTGTGGTGAAGTGGGCTGTATGTGTGACGCTCAGAGATCTGAGAGTGAATTTTTGTACTTTTCAATAAAGTTACGTTTAGTGGAATCTGCAGTGAGGAAAGGAGTGCATTCTAATTGTCTTCTCAAATAGTTAGCAATGAAAGGATATAATTAAAAAAAAACCCGCTGAAGTTTTGCAGGATTTTAATGTGTCAGGAGAGCCCTGCCAAGCAACATGGATTTTTTGCACCCTTGCTTGAAAGGATCAGCACATTCAGTTTCCCAGCAGGTTAAAAGGAAAAGGTGTGTATTGGAGGTTTGTGTCTGTCTTCTTCATATTTTGCTGATTGGAGATAGCACCAGGTTTGGGAATAGCTGAGCGCTGCAAGTCTCCTACATTCAGGAAGGACTGAGTTTAACAAACTTTTCTGTCTTGATTCTTTTAGGCTGAAAGTAGAGGAGAAGAAATAGGAGTCCTACAAGCAGATTCAGTAGTATGTGGAATAGCATTTAAGCTTTGGCATCCCTTTAAATATTGGCAGAACTATTGAATATCTGTGTATGTTCAAGGCATGTAATACATCTGTCTGGTATTTCTTTACATACTTTTCCAAATCGGGCTGGGGGACCCTTTGTTTCCGTGTCAGTTTGCGAAATGCCTGGAATGGCACTACAAAATTTACATGCTCAATAGTGATTTGTGACAGTGAAGACAGGAAAAAGTTGAGTTTTGACAAATTTAAATGTATAAATACTTGAATATATAAATATTTGAAAATATTTCCCCAAAAGTACTTCTGTGGACCAGAGTTTTGATCTCTGAAACTGCCTATGGAGAAATATGGAAAATACTGGAATTACTGAAACAAGAAATAAATAAGTGAGGAATTTTATGAGAAGAAGAAAATCTCCCTTTAATGCCGTGTGCTAAAACAAAGACAACATACTGAAGTAAAAAAATTGTGATCAAGGCTATTTTTATGGAATATTTTAATGCAGTCATAAATAATACATGGAATAAGTTACTAGTGAGGATGGGAACATCTCTCAAGCATTAGACACATGAGTAGAAAGAATATCTGAGGTTCTGTTATATACAGCTGTGGAGGGAGAATATAAACCTTTGTTCTTCATGGCACAAGCAAACTACTTGGCGGAACTATTTGTTTATTTTTCTGAATCATGTAGTACTGACTGAGAGAAACTATTGATCTGGTCTGTCATGGCAGTTCCTATATTATAAAATACTTTTGTCTTTGACCCTAATTTATTGTGTAACACTTAGGAATACCATTATGTGTAATTAATCTAATGAAATAAGAAACAGTGTTGCTGTAAGATTATTCATCCTATTGCAAACATATAAAAACCCGAAACAACAAATCTGATGCTCTCCCTTGATAAAGTATCTTTTTATAATATTTTGCTTTCTTTCTGTTATTTACAGAATCCTGAAGCAAATTAGTCTCTTTCAGAGGATATATGTACATTTATTTGAAGTGTTGTTGATAATGTTAAAAGTTAATTAATGTGAAGCCTGACAGATTCAGGACGTATGGTCTGAAACTTCTGTGGTGGCGTTTCTGAGGTCTGGAGTAATACACCAGAACCGCTTCCTTCCAGCTTTGCTTTTGCTACATAGGCAAAAATCCTTCTCATATTCTCCGTGTTTTATTACTCCTGCCTGTCCCCGTTCCCCCCCCCCCCCCCCTTTGGACTCTGAACCTGTCTGATGTGTTGTGATCAGTGTTTCATCTGTTTTCAGTCTTTTGCTTCACTGTGGATGGCCTCTTGTGATTTCAAGCTGGATTCCTCATTTTCCTTTCATGTCTTCTGAAAAAGTCTCTTTACTTGGCTGCCATTTCACTAAATCCTTCTCATTTGCAGACATGGTATCATCTGACTCTCTGGCCTCTTTATAAGTCCTGTTTATTCTTTATAAACAATCATGTTTGTTCATTCCCCTCCATTCTTATTTCTTTATGCTTGACTGTATATACTACAGCTAGTATAGAGAGAACAATCCTATAGTAATCCACTCTTTGTTTTTTTTTCTCAGACAATTACAAATATTTCTTGCTTGTAAAAATTTTTCCCCTCTTCTGGCTCTTTCTCTGGGTACATCAGTCTAAGTTTTTCCTTGTAAGACCTCAGGCTATGTAAGAGTAAATGTCTGCCTTTAGCTTTCTCACTTTTTCTCCTTGTGTTCCATCCAGTTTTGTCTCTGCTTTTGCTCATTTCTTTGTGGAGTCTTACCCATGACTTTTTTACTTGCCTGCTTTCTTGACAACTTTTTTTCATGAAACAAGTGTGAAATCAACATCTGTTATAAATTACTTTCATTTTGTCGAAGTTTAAAGTCCCAAAGAGTTTTGCTCTAGCCAGCTTACTCAAGCCACTAATGCTTATTTAACAGAATACAAGATTGACTTTGTGTTCTATGTAGCACTGTAGGACTTGCATAAGTGCTGAAGATGCATGTGTTATTGCATTGTCATGGATGTCTGTCCTGGTACCCTAACACTATCTTTCTGTGAACTTACATAGACTGGAAAAAAACGAGGAATGTGCCTTGGCAAAGTTGTCTCTTGCTTCACAGATGCCCTGTTATAACTAACTGTCTGCTCTCATGATCTTGAAAATGCACTCTGTGGAAAAGTGTCTTCCTTTTGACAAAATAACTGTATTTGCCGCATGCACAAAACAAAGATCTGAAAGAGTTTTTTGCATCTCTGCAGGCCTCCTGCTTGACTAGGGCCAACTTGGCATTTCATCTGAGGAAGAGAATGATTCTGAGGGGCTGCAGATTAATTTCAATTACCTTTATTTTTAGGATTGTCAGGATGGTGGATAAGAACATTTACATTGTACAAGGTGAAATCAATGCGGTGGTGGGAGCCATAAAGCGTAATGCCCGATGGAGCACTCACACACATCTGGTAAGTTACCTTGAATTGTTGCTACAGGTTCACACTATGGCAGAAACTACCTGGTTTTAGAAAAGTACCTCTGTTTTTTCTAGCACTCGTTATAGTACTTTTGTAAGTAAAGTTGGAATAACTTTCTACATTGTTTCACGCTGAGCAGTTTTGGCTTCTTGTGTGTCAGTGACTGTAAGAGATACAAAGCTGGAAATCTTCTATCTATATACTCTGTAAACAAACAAAAAAGCCCACATTGTATTCCACATGGGAATCATCTCATTTAGACTTCGATCCCCTGCTGTGTCAGGGATTTTGAATATATGGTGTTATTTTATTTAGCACAATGTTTCTATATATATTTTTGTGCCCTCTTAGAGAGCACAGTCTTCATCATGAAAGCCCAATAAAAATTGGGGAAGTCATTATATATAGGGTATTTTTAAATTTTTCATATGGCATAGTGTCTTTCCTTAGCCTGGTTTTGTGCCTGCTAGTTATATTCCCGACTGAAACCTGTTACTAGTTTCAAACCTGTTTTGTTAAAAGCCATTAATACAATGTTTCCAAGTCTAATGATGCATTGGTCAGCTTATGGCTTCTACAGTGTAAATGTGTACATGTGGCATACTGTATCTGTGGGGAACTTCGGAATGTCACATGAATAGCAGATGGCTGTCATCCAGTACGAATGGTTTCAGTTTGTCGAAGGGTAGAGCTCTTTTTCTTTCTAACAGGCATTTCTTCATTAGAGCTCACTGCCACCCAGTAGGAGGTGTGGCTGCAGGTGTACACAGCTTGGAGAAACTGCTGGTCCTCCTTATTTTAATATCATGAAGATAGACTTAAGGCTAAAGGATGCAGCTATTCATGTAAATTTTGCACTGTGATTCTTGCTTCAAGTTATTTTAATGGCACCAAATGTCATTGTATTTCTGTTCCTATTACAATCTGCATAGATTAACATTATAGCAAATCCAGATGAGCCATTTTGTATGGTATGAGGTAGATTTGCTCTGAAATTTATTGAACAGCGGAAGGCTAATCAGAAATACTTCTAAGGACAATAAAACCAAACCAGAATACTCAGTCTTGAACCTATGCTTTGACATTTGAGCTGTATGGCATTGGGGAGCACTAGCAGGAAAATAGAAATGCTTCTCTTGGTTTTGATGGAGTAAACGCACTGACAGTGATAAACTCAACCCACAGTACTTCTGTGAAAATGAAAGAGGTCTTTACAGACCTATTATTAAGATTTGTGTTCAGGAGTATGTTTGCTGCATTAATTACTTCCTTCCTATATATAACCTATAGGATGAAGAAAGGGATCCCCTGCTGCATAGCTTTAGCCTCTTAAAAGAAGTGCTGAATAATATAACAGGTAAGCTTACACAGAAATCAGCAGGTATGCGTACCTGCTAGGGTATATGCAAACAAATGTACAGGTGTACTTGTTTGTCTTATTTACTATCCAGAGATCATATATTGAGTAACAAGAAAAGAGCAAATATGTATATGCTTTTAGACAAATAATACCAAAGTGAACTAGTACACAAATACCACTGCTGCCACTATCTGGAGATACATGTATATGAGTGTCTGTATGTATATATGTATATTTTTCTGTGTATACACACACACATATTTTTATATATAAATATGCATGTTTCTTCAATATAGTGAAGCTTGTAGTAATATATGAAATCTGGTGTACTATTATGCATAATATTTCTGTGCTTTGTTTATACTTTCTGATCTGTGAATGATGGGAAAAATCTGCTTAGAAAGTAGCCTCCCATTATCTGTTTTCTCCTCATATTATTTGGTTTGTTGGTTTTCATCATCTGTTACCAGTAACAAGTAAAGCACAGACTTCACTTTCCATTTACGTCTCTTGAATCTTGAAGGGAAAGGCTTACTTTGTGACCAGTTGCACTGAAAAGAACTGGATATCTATATTGATTACAGAAGTAGAACACAAACCTGTCGTGTATTCTGAACAGGTTTTTTCTCCCAACCCATCTTTCTTGCATCTTCCCCTACATTTTCTCTTTTTGTAGTTTCAGGAGTGATTGTTTAAGTGTAACCTAAGTATATGTTGAGAGTCTGGAAGTGAGGCTAATCCTGAGCTGCATGTGGCATTCTGCTGGCCCTTCCCAGGATTTGTCCTACTGATTGCAGTATTTGAAAGTAAGCTTTATTTCTGGTCCCTTTATTACAGTGAGTGTTCAGAACTGCACTCAACCTAAGTTTGAGAGGACATTTTGCATTTCTAATTGCAAAGCACACCCATTCTTGTGTCAGCACTGAGCCTGAAATCCATAAAAAGTATGTTCCCTAGGAGTACAGTAGTGCTGCTTCCAGGTGCTGTGGACATGTGCCAGTTCTGAGCCCTTATTCCTTCATCTTTTGTGGCTGCCTGTAGGGATAATGCTTTACTTTTCTTTGCCAGGTGATCTTCCCTTGGTTGTGAGCAGGACTTTTCTATCAGGTCATGACATCTTAGGGGACTCCTGCATAACTTGCATTTCTGGATAGTATTTTTGTTCTGGGTATTATGCTTGTACCCAGACTACATGACAGTGTGCGTTTGTGTTTTTTTGTAAACTCACTCATCTTCTGTAGGATATGCATACAGTCACCAAAAGTGTGTTGGGAGGAAGTTTTCCTTCTCTCCCTTCTGAGAGAGAAATTTTTCTTTAAAATAAGACTCCTGAAGTTCTTTGCCATTATTGCAAGTATCTCTTCTCATGAACAAGAGCAGGGAATGTCAGGATGCTCAAATAAATGCTGTATGAGTAAATGTCAGGGACTGGCCATTTATCTAGAATAGCCAGATACAATGAGCTGTTGACTTGTTGGGGAAAAATGCAAGCCCACTATCTGCTTGTGTTAGAGAAAGCAAACTTTAATGTACTGAGAGATTCAGAGACTCCCTGTGAGTATTAGTCATCAAGTAAGTGTGGTTCGTGCTGAGATAATAATTGCTTATATATGGTGATGATAGCGTCTTGGTTTGACTACATGGGATTCTTTTAAACAGGTAATTTCAGCTTCAGTGACTGCTATTTACCAACTAGTGTCTTGAGATAGGACATCATTGCTATGCTCCATTTTTTTAACTTTTAGACATGGACTGGTTCCCAAGCAATACTTTAAACAATGTAGACTCTCCTGCCTTATCTTCCAGGCAATGAAAAGTCCAAGCTTAGGTTTTTATGTGGGTGGCTTTTTTTTTTCCTTCTGCCTAGACCTACCTTTCATGTCTCTTTCATTAGCTCATGGAAACACATTGCTTTTATATTTAAATTTATTCAAGCTGTAATCTTTGACATTTGAGTTAGCTTTTAGTACAATTTTGCATTTATAGTAATATATATTATGTATTTTCTCAATCCCCCAAGAACCCATTTTAATCTGTTCCGGATGCAAATTTCAGGCTGCCTTGTCCCATCTCCCCTCTTGCTCTCGCCCTCCCTTCCCCTCCCCCATGGAGCATGTTTGATCAGGTGTGGCAGGAATATCCACTGTCAAGCTGCGCCCTTTATATTAGTCAATATTATCCTTCCTTCCCTCCCACTCCCTTCATTCTCCTCTGGGCTTTACCAGTTGATTTATAATTTTGGAATTCTCATCGGAGTCTGTAATACAGTTTGTTCATTATTTAACCAAAACCTGTTTAATGAGCAAAGAGAGGCAATGTAAATGTTAGGCATGTTGCAGTGGAGTACCTTTTGTTCTCCTCTGAGCTAGTGGGTATTAACTCTGTCATGACTGTGATGCTGAAATACCCTGGTCAAGGGTTATAAAGATGCACTGTATGCCTCCAGCAGCTAAAGATTCCCATTTCAAAGTATTGCTCCTCAAGAGTAACTAAATTGCATAATGTGTTTTATTGGACTACCAAAATAGCAGAAGCTTGAAAGCTTGCCTGCAACTAGGTAGTGGTATCCCGTCCCATTATAAAGTCTAAGTGGGCTCTTGAAGGAGGCATCTAGAGAAGATACTGTTGCACAAACAATCCCTTATTGTGGTAAGAGTAACTTCACTTCTGCAGTTCAGCATACCTAGCTAAGGGCCTTGGACCTGAATTATGTGGAATAACGCTGCTCTTTAGAATTCTGACAGAGAAACTTAATTTCTGTGGCAATTTTATGTAGATTTCTAAAAACAATGTAGTAATTTGAAAATGAACAGCATGTCTACTCTGATCCACTATCATTTAGCTTATTGTATGCCTTTTTACATTTTTATGGGTTGCATGCATTTTAATTACTATTGATAGTAGTTGCCTGAAAAACAGAAAGGAAAAATAGTTCTGTCATCTTGGGTGATTGCATAAGTTACTCCAACATAAATTTAATAGCGGAAAAGCAAAAATTGGTGTTCTGAGTTATGACCATATGGAAGCAGTGACTATCAAGCTTTGTCCATGCGTGCAAAATTGAAATACAACTACCTCTTCAAAGGTTATTTTAAAACTGATGGAAGTCTTGGTATTGATACAGGTTTGGATCTAGGATCACTGTCACCACAACTTCCATTTGACTGCTTTTTAAAGTAACCTGAGTATCTAGAAAATGTGTCTGGATGTTGAAATATTTGTTCATTTTGTCAGTTTTGTTATAGATTTAGGTCAACAAAAGGAAGCTTCTTTTTGACATCTTCTCTTTCATGAGTGTTTCCAACTTAGGATGCTCTTGAGCACACTAGGGAGAGGTTTTGTAACCACAAATAGCTGGGAATATGAATTAATTATAAGCCTGCTTTTCCATGACCTGATGAGGACTGGATTTCCTTAAATCTTGCTGTGGCTGTTGAAGTTTTCAGACCATTCCAGTATGATGTAGAGGTAAGAGCAGGTACTTCTGTAGTCATTCTCCTCATTGCAGAATTTGTGCTTAGCTCTGACTAGGAGGATGAGACAGTAACCAGGATTTTCATGACTGAAGTACTGCGTACTGGTTTGTAGGATAGCTTTAGAACAGAAAATAACTGAATACAACTGCCTTGTACAAGTCAGCACTGCAGTGGGAGAACCAGGTGTTTGTGGAAAGTGTGTGCATCGAGAGTCTATTTAAATAAGATTTAAACTAGGTAAACACACCTGTGAAGAGGTGCTTGTGTATATTTTAGGTCCATGAGTGCTAGACTGGAAGATTTGAGTCCTTTTATCCTCTGGTGGTTCAGAGTTAGTGCATTTAAACAGAAGCTGCAAAGTAAGCTGTTAGAAGCACTCTGATTTCATGCACATTCATGACATTTTAAATGAACGCTTGTACAGTGGGTTCAGAAGAATCTTTTCATGGCTTATTTCAGACAAGAAGCTGCTGCAAATCTCCATCTTTAGAGGGCTGGCTGGGGCATTAAGAGCTGGCTAAAGGTCAAATGACTGTAACCATAGGAGAACCTTTGCCCAGTGTACTGACTTAATATACTTGTTACTGTAGCCATCAGTTTTCTGGTATGTAGATTTGATTGCACACTCATTTTCTCATGTCTGAGCTCTGGAAACTCAGTTTTTAGGGAAAAACTGACATTCGTCTAAAGCAATACAAGGATTTTATCCTGATTTGGGTTTAACGTGAACTTTTTCTGAAAGGTCTAATTTTAAGAAGTGTTAAATTGGTAGTAAGTATAAATATGTGTCCTATTCTCAGTGCTATTGCAGTGCTATTGAATAGAATCTGACATACTCGTTGCGGTCTATTCAAGCTAAGAAATCAGAAAAAATAATTTTTTATTTTAAAGAAGTGTAGGAATTGGATTATATGGATGTGTGATATGTATAGTGCTGCAATGCTTGTTACTTTGCAGATAAGAGCAATGTTGTATTTTATTTATTATTTATATCTTGAGTTTCTGCAGGAAGTACCTGGGCTTCAGTCAACTGTAAGCTGTGATACTTCTCCCTTTGTTTGCACTGAAGGATTGCAATGTTATCTAGAGCGGACATTGAAAAAAAAAAATCACCTAAGCTTTTCTTCTGTTGCACATCAGCTTTGTATAAAAGATCTGGAAGACTCACTGGTCTCATAGATTATGTCTGTTCCTGTGATAACTTAAAATTTTTTTTTTTCTTTAAATGAGAGATACCCATACATGTTAGCTTCATATTTTGGAAAACCAAGCAACTCAGGCTAACGTTTAGCTTTTGTGGCATTCTCCATAAATTTTTTTAAGAATGGAAAAGGTGTAAGAAAGGTTAGAAAATCGATAAAGTTTCTTCCATAACTTTAACTCAGCCTTACTCAAATTAGTGCATGGCAATACAATTTTAGTCCATATCAAATGACCTGACACAGTGTACAGAAGTAGTAATTAATTTCTCTTAATATTTTCTGTCACCTTTCTACAAGAAATATGAAGATTAATGTGACA